AGAGTTACCCTCCACAGGAAGGGCAGCTTTGCTATGCAAAAAACACCTCAGACAGAAATGCAACAGACTTCAGACATTACACAACATAAGTGTCCACTAGGTGGGGAGGTAGGGTAGAGGACTCTCCAAACATCAGTACATGCAGCCACGATAAGTAGCGCCCGTCACCTCCGTTTGAACAGGGGAGGAAGATAGTTGTGTTTAGAAAGCACAGTGACTCCTGGAAATGATTCAACGGCCTTTACCGGTCGCAGTCCCGCTCAGGCTGGGATAGGGAGACAGAGTTGCCATGGCGACGGCAGCATTCCACATTTCTTCTTCTTCTGCTTTGTTGTGGGAGTTATTACTTCAGGCTCAAGGGCACCAGATTCAGATAAGAACTTGTTTTGGGGCCAGACAGAGATAATTTCCTCTCTGTCTTAAAGTTCTGTTGGTCCTAAACCCCTCTCAATCCAATAATGGCGTAGTTAATCAATCCCAATCTGTGCTGATCCGTCAACTCTATCCTTGATCGAATCCACCTTCTGTGCCAGAGTCTGAATCTCAGCCAAAGTTCTAAGCTTACGACTCATCTCGACAGTTATGAGTTTGTGCATTCACAGCGCGGTGTAATCCATCCCTGAGCTCCGGGATTGAGCCGATATTCCTCGACAGCTCATTTACTGGGGCAGTAGTAGCTCAACAGGTTGAGCGGGTTGTCCAGTAATCGGAAGGTTGCAGGTTTGATCCCGGCTCCGGACAGAGAATTCTGCTGTTGTTGGGCAAGACAGTTAACCCACCTTGCCTGCTGGTGGTGGTCGGAGGGACCGGTGGCGCCTGTACTCGGCAGCCTCGCCTCTGTCAGTGCGCCCCAGGGCAGCTGTAGCTACATTGTAGCTCATCACCACCAGTGTGTGAATGTGTGTGTGAATGGATGAGTGATACACTGTAGTGTAAAGCGCTTTGGAGTCCTTACTCTGAGAGGCGCTATACAAGTGCGAGTCATTTATCATTATCATTTATCATTAATTTTCCAGTAAGCCAGATAACCACCCAGGCCAAAAAGCAGTAAACCTGACACCAACACAACAAATATCCAGACGTCTTCAGAATCCTCTACAGACAGTTGAGAGAGGCAGATCAAGTTCCACTGTTTCCAGGAGTCCATGATATGCCCAGCTGGCTCTGTCCCAGAGGGGCAACCGAGAGCCCCTTTTCCCGTTCTCAACGTTGAAAAAATTTTGTCAATCGTGTTGAGAGACCAACTGACCAGATCCATTTTTAATAATTTCCAGTTTCCAGAAAAAGTGCAGAAGCGCCGTACACCCAAAGACAGACAAAGAGCCTTGGGATAAAATAGGGAGGAGAGGAGGAAAAAAGTGTCTGTACTCTCCAAGAGCCGGAAGAATAAAAAACACATGAAGCTAATTCTTTTCTCCCATTATTTTTTTAATGTGCTTGTGAATCAACTTGTGATTTTTGCCTAGAGAGGTGCTTTATATAAAACATGTTATCGTTCTATTCAGTGTAAAGGGGAAAACTGGAGGTTCGCACGTGCAAGTCCATTAAAGTGTGCAACTCCACACTCGAGCTAGGGCTGGGCGATATGGCAAAAATAGAATATCACGATTTCGATTTTATCACGATTTTTTATCCATGAATAGCATAACTTCAATTGCGCATTAAAGAAGAGAAACATTGAATAAATAAACATTTATTCATATTAGGGATAATCAACACAGTGCTAACACACTTATATTTTAAACTCACATCAGAGATGATAAAAGCCCTGAGAGAAACAATTACAAAAATCAGTTTTTCTCGTTTTTCAAGTAACTTAACATAAATTAAAATCGTAAACATATTTAAAGTGCAAACATGTCAATTGCAAACGTATTGTGCAAACATTAACTTGTTCAAAATACTATGTAGCTCCCAGTTGCTCATGTAGTGGATAGTTAAGCTCAAATACGGCTCCGATGTGCGGCTGGACCAGAGATCGCTTGTGGTAGCAAATAACTGCGCATTCTGAATATTTTCTGCAACTCTCACTTTGCATTCAGCGTACATGCGTGGAATGGCGGTGTTGGAAAAATACTTGCGGCTGGAAAACTCGTAGCGCGGATCCAATGTTTTTATCATTTTCTGAAATCCCACTCCTACTGTTCGCACGGGACACAAATCTTTAACCAAGTGGTACGTCACTGCATCTGTCACGCTCTTCCATCGTCTGCTGTCTCTGTCGTAAGGAGTGAGTTTTGTGTGTTTCTGTTAGCGTTTGCTGCCTGGAAGAAGCATAGCCGCTGCCGCTGTCGCCGCAGGCTTTTTAGCTTTAGCTGCCTGCTGGCTCTCATTGTATTGTTTGGGATGCCTTCTTTTCAAGTGATTAAACAAGTTTGTGGTGTTGCCATCACTTGCCTTGACGCTCTCCTTGCGAACTTTATAAATGACGTTTCGCTGCTCTTTGTCATCTGGTGAAAAACCAAACCAGTTCCATATAACGGACGAGGCGTTCCTCTTCGGAACGAAAACCTCGTTGTCGCTCTCAGCCGCGGCCGAAACCATGTTTGTTCACACACAGGTGAAAACAAGCGGGGCACTAATATATTACTATGACTCACTCTGATTGGTTAAGGGTCAAACAAAGGCGTGTCATTCGCCTGGGGTAAGTTCCCTTTTCATTCAGAGGCAGAATTTCAACAGCAGAGCTGTGAATCGTGATAAAAAGGTCTCTCAAAAATGACAGACCGTCAGATGTGTAGATCGTGAAACGGTCTAAAATCGTCATATCGCCCAGTCCTAGTCTATAGCATTAATGAGTACCGTGGATTGCACAAGTTTGCACATGTTGTCATGTCATGTCATATCGCACAGCCCTAACTCGAGCTGACGCTAAAGTAAAAATCTGTCTAGTTATGCTGAACTCCGTTCTGCTTCTGGAGACGTCTCTCTCTCGCTCACCCTCTCACCACAGTGCTGAGAGACGGCCCCTGCTGCAGACACAGCCATTATCGACTCTAGTGGAGCTATGCATTGAAAAATAAAATGGGGAAAATAACCAAAATGTGCAGCTCTGTCAGTTAAACAATTGGGCTCGGTTCCAGTACACCCTGTGCTGGCTGCTGCTGCAATAACGCGGGGGAAAATACCCGTTGTCTATAAAAGTTGACAAAACAGATCCTGGATCAGTCAGGAGTGCTACTGTAGCATTGATGATCATGTGATTGCTTGTTTAAATTGCAATTTTGGTCCAATAACGATAGATCGTTCAGCCCAACGAGAAAGAGACCCTTTGTTTATAAAATTGGACTGCAGTACCCAAATTTCACCACAAGATATCATTTGTCATTCGTAAATATTGCCCTTTGTTGAAAAACAGACATTTTTGGCAGATCCAACAAATAGACAGGACTTTGACCATATCATTATGACCATAATGACCATATTATCAAGGCTGCCTTTCTTTTCTTTTTTATGTCATAATAAATCAATTTTAACCCAGTTTGCTTCATAGTTTATTATTTAGTATTTTCTTTCATAAACTATAAAATATATTTCAACTGGTCATTGATACAGGGGATCAACATTATTTACTATTAAAATATGAAATAGTATATTTAAATTTGTATGCAGCAGCTCTGGTTTTGAGGGCCGATACCAATTTTGACCCTTTCTGATTCGTCCAAAAGATGTATTATTAATGGAATACTTAAAAAACATTTTAATGACCTTGAAAATCATAATTTGTGAAGTAAAACTTCTTCATGAATAATCAGTTATTATTTTCTGATCAGTTGATCACACATGGAGTTGATCAGACTGATTATTGGCCATACTGGTCCCAACAGTTATCTACATCTCTTCAGTTCGTGTTACTCACCAAGGATCATTCATTCTTTGTCATCCTTTTTTACTTCCTCTCAAAGCTTAATTTTTCTGACAAAGTAATCATGACTAATTCCTAATAATATTCTGAGCGACGTTTGAAATCACCTTAGTTTATTTTTGTAGGAAAATCTTCGTCCTTGTTTTACTCAGTTTTAGTGGATTGAATCCAAAGATGAAACAAAATACTTCTGATTCCAATGCATTTGTGAGAACATGAAATAAAATAAATGTCCAAAGTGCTGCACAGGTAAATGCATGAGTATAAAACCAGACAAGAAACAAGCCCCATAAATAAATGATGTTGTGACTTGGTGTGATAATGTCAAAAACCAAAACGAGTTCACTTAAACTCGTCAACATCTGAGGCTGATTTGTTACCTTTTGTTCGCTTTTAGGACGAATAAAATGTTCCAGGTCTGAATGTGAGAAACACACTCGTTCATGTTGAAAACCTCGCTTTGCTCCATCGCTTTAGTGGTTGCTAAGGTTACCAGCGGCTGTCGGGTTTGTTCTTGTTGCTCTAAAAGGAAACTTTTCACCATGAGGACTAATTATTGGACATGATACCAACACAAAGAGGCCGTCACTCAGGACTCACTTTCAGTTCTGGTGTTCTTAGTCTGCAGCTTTCATTGCATTTATCATTATTATTATTATTATTATTAAAGTCTAAAATGCTCTTATTTGAACAATAAAATGTTATTTCATTTTATTTTTTATTCATATATTTAAATCCACAATGGTTATGATTTTATTCATCGTTATACATTGAGGAAACTTTTTATTTTTATTTTTTTGCATATTTTCGTTTGAATTCTCTATTCGCTAATGTACTTTCTGCCTCTCGTACACCTAAGAGAGACTGGAAATCACCAGTTTTACCTGGATTGTTTTAGTCCTGCACCTTTGGTGGGATTCCCCAGACTTTCTATCCTGACTCGGAGTCACTCGGGTTCATCGTTAGTGAGGTTCATGTTTTTATTTTGTCTGTATTTCATTTCTCTGCTCTTCTGAATGGCTCCAATCAAATATCACATTATCTGCCATATGTTCAGTCCATCTACACACAACAGTCAACGTGTGGAGGTCACGGTTTGTTCTGATCATTCCGGATTTGTGTGGTTTTTCCGTAGTGGTGCTGATTGGAGACTCCGGTGTGGGAAAGAGTAACCTGCTGTCCCGCTTCACCCGCAACGAGTTCAACTTGGAAAGCAAGAGCACCATCGGAGTGGAGTTCGCCACGCGCAGCATCCAAGTAGAAGGGAAGACCATCAAGGCTCAGATCTGGGACACAGCCGGACAGGAGCGATACCGAGCCATCACATCTGCGTGAGTTGGAGGTTTTGGAAGCTCTGATGGTCCTCAGACTGACACACATGTGTGATTCAATTCAATTCAAAGATACTTTATTAATCCCAGAGGGAAATTAGAGTTTCAGTACACACAATTCAGAGATCAGACATAAATAGGCAAAGACACATGACAAGAATTGGTGACTGTGGTCATTCGCAACCCTGAGTCGCACTACCTTAATAGAGATCAAAGAGGTTACATGAGGATTGGTTCAGGTGGAGGAAAAAAAGGCACTTCAGAGTTACCCTCCGCAGGGAGGGCATCTTTGCTATGCAAAAAAAAAAAAAAAACACCTCAGACAGGAATGCAACAGACTTCAGACATAACACAACATAAGTGTCCACTAGGTGGGGTGGTAGGGTTTGGGACTCTCCATACATCAGTGCCTGCAGCCACGATAAGCAGCGCACGTCACCTCAGTTTGGACAGGGGTGAGACGTCGTTGGGTTTGGAGGGCACAGTGACTCCTGGAACGATTCAGTGGCCTTCACAGCTCACAGTCCCGCCCAGGCTGGGATAGGGAGACAGAGTTGCCATGGCGACGTCAGCATTCCACATTTCTTCTGAGGGGTGGGGGGGGGGGGGGGGTATTCGTTGCAGCCTCACAGGCTCAAGGGCACCAGATTCAGATTAGAAATTGTTTTGGGGCCAGACAGAGATAATTTCCTCTCTGCCAAAGTTCCATTGGTCCTCAACCTCTCAAAATTCAATAATGGCGTAAATGAATCTATCCCAATTCGTGCTGATTCGTCCACTTGCTCCTTGATCGCATCCATCTTTTGTGCCAAAGCACAAATCTCAGCCAAAGTTCCAAGCTTACGACTCATCTCGACAATTATGTGAGTCTGTGCATTCACAGCGCGGTGTAATCCATCCCTGAGCTCCAGGAGAGCCAGTATTCCTCGACTGCTCGTTAATTTTCCGGTAAGACAGGTAACCTCCTAGGCCAAAGAGCAGGAAACCTGACACCAACACTAGGGATGCACCGATGGATCGGCATTTGATCCCAATCGGCCGATAGCGCCCCTATCGGTTTTGATCTGAGTTTTCAAAATAGATCAAAGCAGACCGATCAGTGGGGTTGTCACGGTAACCGGTGTAGCGGTAAACCCCGGTTAAAAAAAAGTTGACAATAATAATAACTGTCTTGTTTAAAAAAAACTATATTATCTCGGTGGGTTACCGTAGCTGCGGTGTAGGCGCGGTGACCCTTACCAGCCACCGTATCATCTGCTGAAGTTGCCGGCGGCACATGCGCGCTTTGTTGTTTACAGCCAAAACTTTCTTGAAGCTAAAGCTGAAATAATGGCCAAAGGAGGAGACGGCAGTGCTCAGGACATTTATTATCCCTCAAAGAAGACAAAGTGGGAAGTACGAGCATCTTTTGGATATTTGAAAAATGCCGAGGGACAGCTGATAGAAGACGGCTATCCTGTTTGCAGCACGTGCAGAAAAAGTATCTGTGAAAGGCAGCAACGCTTCAAATCTCATGACACATCTGCGTGACCATCACCCGCAACTCTACAGTCAACGCAAGGCAAGCTAACGTTAGCGTTTTAGCTAAAATGCGTGATCCGAGGATTTGGGTTGAGGGGGAATGCAACGAGTCGCTATATAAAGCAGCCGCAGCGCCGCTACCTGCATATAAACCGTGTTGCAGACACCCCCATATTGAAATGACGCTATGCATTACGGGGCTCCCAGGGGCAGATAAGAGTTGGTCTCTCTCCGAGAACAATTATGAATTTAACAACGATTACTGCCTGATGACATTTTCCCACATCTGCAAAGCTCACTGGAAGGACACAAACCGAGGACAATATTTTCCTGATATAGGGTTTTTTACTTAAGTAAGGGTAAAAAAATATCTGATTTGAAGGCTACTTGAGTACTGAGTATCATCTGATCTAATATTTTTAAAATGATGACATCAAACAGACATAAAATAAGTTATGGGCAAATATTGGTATTTTAAAGACTAAAGGGAAAAATGTAAACAAATAAACATAATTTCAAAATAACACATTTTAGGCAAAATTTAGACACAAACTGAGGACAATATTTCCTGACATACAGGGTTTATTTAATTGTGTGAAAATGTAGCACGTTAAAAAAAATACCGCGATAATACCGAAAACTGTGGTAATTTTGGTCACAATAACCATGAGGTTAAATTTTCACACCGTGACAACCCTAATACAGACCATTTTAGATTAGGTTACATTTCCTTTGTTCCCAGATTATGTAGTTTGTAGCACTCATTATAATGTTGTAGAAAATTTCTGGCCAATCCACGTGATCGGTATCGGTGATCGGTGATCAGCATTCTTTGATATCGGTATCGGTGATCGGCAGCAAAAAACCTGATTGTTGCATCCCTAACCAACACCACAAATATCCAGACGTCTTCCGAATCCTCTACAGGCAGCTGAGACAGGCAGCCCAAGTTCCACTGTTTCCAGGAGTCCATGATATGCCGAACTGGATCTGTCCCAGAGGGGCACCCGGGATCCCCTTCTCTCGTTCTCACCGTTGAAAAAATTTTGTTAATCGCGTTAAGTGACCAACTGACCAGGTCCATTTTAGTAATTTCAGTTTCCAGTTTCCAGAAAAAATGCAGAAGTGCCGTACACCCAAAGACAGACAATGAGCCTTGGGGATAAGATAGGGAGGAAATGAGGAAAAAAGCATCTGTACTCTCCAAGAGCCGGAAGAAGGAGATCAGAGATGGAGAATCATTCTGATAGCACAATAGCACCTCACCCTCGCTGGCGTCTTCACAAAACATCACAGGACTTCATCCTGAATAACTGCGTTCTGATTAAAGTGTTAAATTACAACTGATGGAAAAGCTTTGCCACAGAAAATATCTAAATCATCATTTTGGACAGAAGAACCAAATAAAAGAATCAGAAAATCATGAATTCTTATGAACATGAAGATGATTAAACACTAAATATGAGGTGATTAAAATGAGTGTATTTGAACAAAGAGATAAAGGACAATGAAGACAACTGATCTGTTGTTCCAGGTACTATCGCGGAGCCGTCGGAGCGCTCCTAGTCTATGACATCGCCAAGCACCTGACCTACGAAAACGCAGAGCGCTGGCTGAAGGAGCTGCAGGACCACGCAGACAGCAACATCGTCATCATGCTGGTGGGCAACAAAAGTGACCTGCGCCACCTAAGAGCCGTCCCCACAGACGAGTCCAAGAGCTTCGCAGGTATCGGTTCTGTACCCGGCTGTTCATCCTGTTTAGCTCAGTATTACTGTCAGATGATGACGAACAATAATAAATCCCGAGCTTTCATCTTGTTGAGTTTATTTTTGTCTTTTACAGTTTTTTTTCTCCTTTGCACCAATTTTAAACTGCAAATGTCACTGGGATCCACCTAAAAAGTAAATCTGGGCGTACACTTATTCACTCGTAGCATTCAGCTCCACCTTAAACTGTATGACGTCCTCGCAGAGCAAAGCTCACGAGTCATGTTCTCACACTGTACGTCTGGGAGCAGCATGTCGGGACTTCGAGTTAAACGTGGCGTTTTACTTCCTTTAATGAGTCATTTAAGACCAAAGAGAGTGCTGACATCAGATATAACAATTTCTTTATCTACTTACTAACTTATTGTGTATGACTTATGTTTATATGTTTATTCATTTAGCAGACGCTTTTATCCAAAACGACTTACAATTTATAACCTATAGGGCATGTTGTGATCTGTGGGGGAAACCGGAGTACCCGGAGGAAACCCACGCATGCATGGGGAGAGCACGCAACTCCATGCAGAAAGGCCGCAGCAGAGTTTCGAACCTGCAACCTTCGTGCTGCGAGGCAACAGTACTGACCACTGCACCACCATGCAGCCCTGTCACTTGTATTTGTTTGTCATCTAGAATCTTCTGGTGCTGATCCGTAACTGGAAACAGCCATGAAACTCACAGAATGGGAATAAGAAACTGACCTTATGTTTATAAAATTGGACTGCAGTACCCCAATTTTACCACAGGATGTCATTCTTCATTTTTAAATATTGCCCCTTGTTTAAAAAAATAAATTTTCTGGCAGATCCTACAAATAAATAGGACTTGCACAATATTTATCAACTCAGAGCAAAACTCACGAGTCATGTTCTCACATGTTGCATATGTTCGCAACACGTCGGACCTTCAAGTCCAAAAACCTAGAAGATCCGGAGGCTGGTGTGTTGGTATTAATGTCTGTATTCCTTCGGACATGCCGTAGCAGGACATGCAGGGATTTATGGGAGTTGGAGGAGGAAGACGAAAGAAAGAAAGATGGGAAACAATGTTTTGTGATCAGTTTAATTTGATTTAAACACATCTTTCTTCACCATCCTTGTCATTATGTGTGGAGAAAAGTGTAACAATAAAAATAAAGGATGTGTGCTCATATGAAAACAGCTGGCAGTTCTGGTACTTTTGGGTCAGAGGACTGCTTCAACAGTGATACCCTCACGAGGGACGAGCAAAATATCAAACATGTTTGATATTCATTAGGGGTGTAACAGTTCTTGGGGGATATTTGAACTGTTTTGGTTCGGACAGTTCAGTTCGGTCCACTTGTGTACCGTTTCGGTTTATTTTTTCCATTAAATAATGAATTTTTCAAACATTTGCGTGATTTAAGTGCAGCGGCTTCAGCCATTCTTTCACTCTGGGTTTTCTAAAAGTATTAGAATTAACACAAGGCTCATTTCTATCTTCTAAGTTTCTGATTAACCTGATTGAACTCATCCTATATGTCCATTCCAATCAAAAGCTGATATTCTGCTGCTAAAATTACTTGTGATGCTATTAAATCTATTCAGGAAAACAAGAAAAGGGCTCATTAAATGTACTTGAACACTTAAAATGAGTCAAATATTTAAATTTAAAACAACTTGTTTGAGTAACACGTGATGGTGTTTCTTTTTGTGCTTTAGGGTAACTGGTCAGTGTGTTAAAGTGTAACTGTAACCTGATATATGACTCTGGTCCCACAGCCGAGGAACCGAGTCTCTGCTGTCAGAACTGGGCTGCTTGTATCCCGCTGAGCTCCTTGGTTATTTTCTATAACGATCCTGTTGCTGCTGACACGTCTATGCAAAATCTTGCTGCAAGTTAAGGATCTCCCAAAAATAACATTAGAACAAACAAAAGAACAAAAGGACCAGTTTCTTTCATTTAAGATATTTTCTAACCGTGTTACTGAAAGTCAGCTGTACAAATGAGGATAGATATAATATTAATTAGTAGTGAGTTTATGGATCAGTGTGTGTGAGCTGCACCATCACTAGGAACTGGCCCAAAACCATATGAACAGGTACGGGCTAAGGCGGGTATCGGTGCCGGACCCTTAAACCAGAATTGGCGCATCTGCTCAAAACAAAACACATGAATAATGGTTCTGTATAGACCTGTGTTAATATTTCATTAAGAAATTACATTAATGTTTAAAGGACATTATCCCTATAAACATTTTCCTGATTTCCTGTCTGAATGAGGAAAACAAAGTAATAAGCGATTTGTGCTGCTGAATGTTCTGCTCTGCTGGTTTTGTTTTGGATGCATGTTGGTCATATTGTTTTGGGTTAAAACAAATGATATCGTCATAAATGAACAACTTGTTAGATTTGGGGAAATCCACTTTTGAAATCAGTTTAAACGAGAAAGAGACTGATGTTTTTGTGTTTTCTAGAGAAACACGGGCTGTCCTTCCTGGAGACATCAGCTTTAGACTCTTCTAACGTGGAACTGGCTTTTCAGACAATTCTCACAGGTCAGTATTCTGTTTTTGTTACATTAATAAGATCAGAGTTTGGCCCTTAAGGAACCTAGTGATTTTAGGGTTTAAAATAAGATATAAAAAATAAACATTTAAAGCTGATTTTATTTGTCATTAATCAGCTGGGAGAAGGTCTTGTTTCCCTCCGGTTCTGATTGATTATATAACACTTCATGTCTGCCACTAGATGGCAGCAAGTTCCACCTAATCTGTTGTGGATTCATCGTCTTACATGTTTCCTGTTGCAAGAGTACTTGAATCTTAATTTAAGGGTAATAAAAGACAAACTAGGAGCCAGTCTGTCTTGTAAGCCTGAATGAACAGGTCCATTCACCGGAGTCTGTAACAGCTGGACTTTCAGGTTTCGCCTGTGCAGCTGTTTTCCTACTCTGAAAGGTTTTCTGATGCACACGTATGTGAGCGCTCTCCCCAGGAGGCTCACCGCTACGCTGACAAATGGAGGGTTTTATTTTTGGGAGATCTGAGGGAAATGCTTTGGTAATGACTCGAACAACCCCTGGAGTTTCTAAAGGGACGATCCAACAGCGAGCAGCGCCTCCTCTCGAGTCGCCCTACGCTCTGCATGAGCTGCTTGCTGTTTGTTGTTCTCCATGTTGAATTCTCAGCAGACGGCTCCAGGCGTTTGAACCATTCAGCTCACACCACAGATTTATCACTTCACATTTCTAACTAATAGAAACTTCAGACCATTAAGCCTCATGGAGCTAACGATGCTAATTAGCTGATTAAGGCAGGAAAAGCTGAACTTTAGACCCAGTGGAGCAGAGAAAACAACGCTGGTGTAGCCGATCAGAGAGGGTCATCTTGTCCGCGTGGTTCTGCTGGCTTCTGACAGAACCACCAGTCTTGTTTCACTTTGAACGTTTGTAGGAAGCTTTTATTTCAGGACTGTTAACACTCTGAAATGTAACGGTTCAGAGGGAAAGTGACAGAACGCAGCAGTGAGTCAGCTTCTTCTCAGACGGATCGACGGACCATCACAGAGATGTGAGCTGTCGTTCAGCTAAATGACTCTAAATGTTCTGGAGACTCAGAAGTTCTGTAGTAAAAAGGCAACACTGACCTAAACACTAAAAGTTTATTCAAGTTGGGGCAGGTGATGCTTGACTCTTAGCTCTTAGCCCTAGGAGACTTGATCCTTCAACACAACGCCTCCAGTTTAGGATGGAAGGAATCCTCGGCTGCAGGAGCCCGGATACAACAGTTGTTGGGTTTTGCCTTCTGTTTGTCCCCACAAAATGTCCCACTGTTGTTGGATTCATCTGCACCTACCTGTCCCCTCTCACCACTCCTCTCTCTGTTGCAGCCATCTACAACATTGTGTCGCAGAGGCAGATGTCTGGACAGGGCAACTCCGACTTCTCACCAGCCTCCAACGTGGTGCCCATCACAGTTGAGCCCACCCAGAGCTCGTCCAGTAAGGGCTCCTGCTGCCAGAACAACTGAGACGCCGCCGCTGACCACCTCCTTCACTTCAGTGGAGAAACCAGCAGATAGACAGATGAACAGGAAAGTCAGATCCACGCAGGAACACTTAAACTAGCTTTGTCTGTTGTCTGGTGCTGGAGGGGGGCATTAAACAAGGGATGTGTGAATGGGGTGGAAAGAAACCAGGTGAGGTGCTTTAAAACGGGTCTTTACAGAGCTGCATCAGCAGGATTCACTGTCTAATGCTGAACTTAACTCGCCGTCTTTTCAGACGGCCCGCGCTTTAAAAGTTGTTTTTTAGACACTTTGCTGTTTCTCACTCCTGGTCAGTAAAGACTGAATCACATCCTGCTATCACCTCTGTCCTTCCTGTCTGTTCCGTTCTAGAAGCTTGGCTCCCTCACCGTATTTATTGAACACTAGATTATTCTGTTTGGCCGAAGGGTTTGGTTGATTTTCTTTATCTTAAAATCCCCTTTTCCAAAGCGAACCATCTGATTTGTGGTCAGATTTGCTCCAGCAGCCCGATAGCATCCCTCTAACAGCGACACGTGGTTTCAGAGTGCTTTTGATCTTGGTTTGGTAGCCTCTCCTTCTCCTCACACACTTTGTGCACCACCGATGAGTCATGCTCCTGAAAGCTTTGCGCTGCATTAACTGAAAGTAAGATGGTATGGTGGTGGTGTTGGTGGGTGGGCCAGCTGCAGTGCACGTTGGGATGTTGGCTCTGCTCGTGCAGACTCACCTTTTACATGAACCTTCTGTGGGAAGGATTTGGGAACTGGTTTAAAGGCAGCCTGCTATCTGACATGGATGGGGTGGATCGCGTTTCAGTGGATGAGATGGTGAGGGCACTCAGCCCTGCCCAGCTCCTGTGGTCCCTGGTGTACCCTGGATGGCTTGTTTTACTGTAAATGAAATCGTCCGCTGCCTGCTCTCGTACTCCTGTCTCTGGAACAGGACTCTTTCTTCTGGGATCTCCCTGAGGTCTGCCCTCACTTTCACTTGGCTTTATTTCCTGTCCGAGGGGTGGGGGCTTTGTTCGCCTGTTAGTGTCTAATAGTGTAATTGATGAGGAAAGCTTTGGGAGGGGCTTGATTAAATCCAAGGTTTACGGACACAGATGGTGTTTATCCTGCTGATGTTGTTTCCACATCAACACACTTCACACGTCTTAAACGGGGGGTGTTGGACAGGACTTTTTAAACTTCTGTTCTCATATGTATATTTGGACTGCACCTGTATAAATAAATTCTATTTGTTATAGCCGATTTTCATGTGTCTGAGTTTTAAAAAGGAGTCTCCGGGCTGATTGGACTCGTGATTTCAGAAACCATTAAAGTTCATCCCAGATTATTGACATGGCCGGACCAGAACTTCTAATGTCCTGTGTAATTTAAGATGTTTGCAAAGTGCTGGAGAATGATATTGTTCCTCTAATTACTGATATTAAATATTAATAGTCATTATCCAAAGATCAATTTAGCCATCAGGACTCATGTCGCCAAAATAAAAGTATAGAAAACACATAATCTGTTTGAGTTGGAGATCATTTTGTTTTTTGTTTTATTAGAAACATTTACAATACATTTTCAATCTTGGAAAAATAACAAAGAACCAGAACTAACATGGCGCAGATACAATAATAATCATAATAATAATATTAATAAAAATCGTCTTCAAAAATGTAATTCACAAAAAAAACATGTGCTATAAGAAATAAACCTGCAATAATCACATGCCCCGTCCGGGCATGGCACACTGTAACAGAGTTCGAAAACTTTTTTTTTTCTTTCTCCATCAAAGTTGACGTTCCACTGCAGAGGGCCTCAGCGGCGACCCCCCCGACTGTTCACAGAGAAACCAGAAACTAACGCCAGCTGCTGCCGGCCCAAAAACTAATGCACTACAACCACTATTAGACCGGTATGAAGCACCTCTACTGTGCTGGAAATATCGGAAACGCTACCAAAGACAAACTGTCAGACTGCATCGGCCTCTTTGGAAAGGGTTGAGTTTCGCCAGCGAGCGTCATGTCAGTCCCCGAGCTTTACACGCCACCACAGGGATGCGTCCTCGCCTTTTATTCATTTTCAAAAAGTTTCTGCTCTTTCCCAAATGGGAACAAATGATCATTTCAGGTAAAAAGAAGGTGGGGTTGGGCGTGGAGTCTGAAATGGTCTCTGACTGGCTCCGAACTCATCACAGTTTTCCACTTTCTAAAGAGACTCCAACTATGAAATTCTACAGAGGAGACCCGGTCCGCGTGCGCCGGCGTAGCATCCAGCCGCCGCGCCCGGCACCGTTTCTCCTGTCTAAGTGACCATACAATATACATGCAAACTATTACGGCAATGAATCTGCTGAGTGTGTGTGTGTGTGTGTGCACGTTTATCTAAGTACATATAAATCTACACAGTGTGCTGTCGTCTGCCCCGCGATGCCTTCACTTACACCTCACCTAATCAACGCATCAGCAAAAGTCAATCAGAAAGGCCTTTTTGAGCCGGTTTCGCCTCGTCACCGATCGATCACAGACTGAGTAGCAGATGAAGGAAATGTGTGAATGAAAACGTTTACAAGTTGTTAGTGGCCCAACCGGGCAAGAGGGTCACAGCTGCCTCATTCATTCCAACCAGTGCAGTTTTTTTTATTTAATATTTCAATAAGAAAAAACAAGTTTAGATTACAGAGGAAATGAGTAATGGGTTTCAGTCAGTAACATGGGGTTAGTTGGGGGGGTGGGGGGGGGTACAGCAAGCAGCACTGCACAAAGAATGCTGATGCAGGAAAAATAGATATAATTGAGGCACAAAAATGATGCTCTGTGACTAAAATATCTCCAAATTCTAAAAATATTATATTTTCTGTAATTATTCCATTGTTAGTGCACTGGTGTTGGAGTAGTGCACGTCTGAAGGTAGAATTTCCCCTATGGGAGACTTCTCCCAGTTACTCCATTCTCTGTGAAGCACATGAGAAAAGTGTCCATAGCGCTCATAAATAATACTTCTTATTTCATTAGTAGAAACTGACTTCCCTGTGTTTAGAAATATATTAACTTCTTGTCATTTTAATTAAAAAACAAAATGTCTTGAGGTTACTCATAAATATGCTGTTTCTTTTTTTATTTTTCATAAATAACATCCAGATACTGACTTTTTTCCTCTGCTTTCTATGAAATAATAACCCATGTTAGCAAAATAGATTTGAAAAACTGTAATATGTTTTTTTATTCGTTTTTTAAGTTACTTTCTATAAATGCATGTGGAAGAACTCAAATATAGACTACATTGAAAACCTGTTGCAAATTCTTTCCCAAAAACAAACAAACTTAAAGCTCACTTTTAAACTGACAAAACAAGAGTGCATTAAGGTGTTTTTCCCACTCCTTTTTTGTTGTTGTTTACATTCAAATGCATTGCTTGCTTTAATGTGTGACTTTGACAGGTTGGTAGAATTGCTTAAATGCATCCACTGAAAATAAGGATTTCCTATCACTCCTTAAAAGGGATTCTACATAAATGCATAAAGACCTTTCTGATATGAAGAGAAGAAAAACATCTACTTTTACTCAATGCAGCCAGAATACATTACTGTAAATAATACTAACACCAACATAATAAACCACTACTTTGTCCTACCTTTTGCTGATCCGCACAATTAAAAGTCTCTCGTTCTGGTGAGCCGGACAAATAAAACTTAGCATATTCCTACTAGGAATCATAAACTATGTCTCAATTAGTTAAACTACGCAGTAAATATATGATTTAAACTGATGTTCTCTTTAAGGTCTTAAAGCTTTTTTTTTTTACACTTTAGATAACAGGCTGATGAATCCTTGTATGCGCTTGTAGCTTTTATTTTGATAAATCTTAGCCTGTACTATATTTCACAAACATGCAGTTACACGTAGGAATTAATGCCTCTTAATGATTCTGAGAAAAACTCCAGCATTTTGTTGATTTTTTTAAAACCTATAATTGTCTTTATTGGTCTGATTTTTTTTAATCCATCTAAATCTACATAAAATTCAATTTTAATCTGAACTTCTCCAGATTGGTCAAGTTTATCAGACAAGTGACCCACCCCGTTAGCGATCTGCAGAGTCTGGATGTTCTCCTGTCTGAACTGTTTGGGGCGAAACGAGTCCGTTAGTGGTGTCTAATAAACTACAACACTGAAACGTGATACGTGTTCATTTGAAATTCATTTATTTTTGGACTATTGGGAGTAATTTGAACGATGAGATCGTTTCTCGCTTCAGTAAACTCTAAGCCAGTTTAAATTGATGCTAAAATAAGTTAAACATTGTTCTTTGGCTACGTCTGACCTTTTTCTTTCAAAGAAAAGCAGGCAGTGCAAAACAAATACAAAACGAGGCCATTAAATTGTACATTTCTGAACAAGAACTCATGTTAAGCTAACATGAGCTCGTCTGATCTGCAGTGGAACCTTAAAGAATCACGTGGATGGTGTTAGCGGTCCTTCGTCCAAATGGATGCGACGTCAGCCCATCAGAACCAGAACCAGCTCGAACAACGTTCAGATTCACACGTTCATCCTTCTAAAGTTCAACTGCAATAAATAAGTGAGACCCTGCAGCTTTTGGGAGTTTCTTTTGTGGTATATTAGATTCTCCACTGGGATCAGACAGAAACACGGTGGAATTATTCTAATAATCCAGCAATATTTAATAAAACAGACCGTTTATTGTCCCAGTGTCGTCAATATTATTGCTTTTCATCCTGATAAATAAAAACTGCTTTCTTCTGTTGGGGTAAAAACTATTAAACATACTCATTTGAGTTTTTATTTGTGATTAAGTACATCAGTGGATTGATAAAATTCATTATTACAGTTTATAGTAGTGTCTGGTTAAGTTTTATCTCTATATTTGGATGAAATACTAAGTTTAAATAATATTTCTTACACGTATGGATCTATCTAATATACTATAATAGTCAAACAGGTGATGGGGCACATATATAAAAGATTAGCTCTCCCTAAACCCAAACACGCTGACAAATGACACTTTTGAGATTGTAAAAATAAGGAAAACTTGTTTCAGGCATCCGCCTTTTCCTAACTGATTCACACACTATATTTACAGAAGAGTGCTTCCCAACAACACTCATTAACTTACAGCGCCTAAACTGGGAGAATCTCTAATAAGACATCTCTTCAATAAAACCAGTGCAAAACTGAACAAATTAAAATGTCAACAGCATTGACTCGATGGTTGAGAGGTCTCCCAAATTGCCACAATTAGGAACAAGAACCACCAAAACACTAAATAAATGATAGGGAATCCTTATGTGCATGTCTTTCAAATTCTGAGATATATTTCACCATCAGTGGTCGGTTTGGTATTAATCAAATGTTTTGTAATAAGGTGCTTCATTCTGTATTTTGTGGGTATGTTTTCGAAGCCTAATGTCCAGAATCCCTCTAATCCCCACCCGAGCGGTTTGATTCACATTCGTCTTATCCAAAAATAAGTTCTGTAAAAAGTTGCTTTTGGGGTGTGGTGCTATCAAAGGCCAAAGTTGCTACCTTGTTAAGCCAAAGCAATGGCAATATTCCATAAAATATTAAGGCAGAAAGCAAAATAAAAAAAATAATACTAAGTTCAAAGAGTGTTGTCCCGCCTAGACTGTGATGCTGAAAGCTTCGGCCAAAACGCTGTGCAATCCTCCACCTCCCCAAACCGGTCCAGCCCCTCAGAAGACTTCGTGGTGCTTTATGTGAGCACACTGCACCTATATCAGTCTCTGCTTTGTGTGTTTCTGCCTTCAGGACTTTATTGTTAAAACAAGACAGAAGCCGAGTTCTGGCCAAGGGGCGGTGAATCACTTGTGGCACCACGACACACGGTGAACATGTGACAGCAGCTCAGGACACAAACACTCAGATCATCGACAGAGCACCTCAGTCTGCGGGGTTTAGGTTTTTTTTTTGTTTTTTGTTTTTTTTGTCTTGAAGCATACTTCTGTCTTTTTTCAGCTCCCCCACCTCCCATCATTCAACAGTTTTAATCCCTACCTCCCCCATCCGCTCCTCTAGCCCTCTGAAATCCCCAGGCTGGGGCTAAGGCAGACGCAGAGGGTGTGTAATTTGATTCAGCATGAGTGCTGGTTAAATGGGGCGTTTCCTCTGCCTTCCTGTCAATTACAATAGTCTGATTTCATTCTGAGAGCTGAACGTAAGGCGAAGGGGGCCGCCATTGGCCCTTACAGTAACGACCACACGATCCATGCCCTGTCCCGTAAGGGGGAGGGTCCCATACCGCACCACTGTAACATTTTGTGGGATAAATATTCCAGGTAACTGGACAGTTTATTTCACTCCTAAACCTCCATTTTATTTCACAGCTGCCAGATCCAGCTAGTGTCATTCTGCACTTGTGTGTGTGTGCTTGGATGTTTTTGAACAAAAGAAGTCCCCCCCCACCCCACCCCCGTGGGCTAGAAAAAGGGGAGTGGAAGCAGGGGTCCTGTTCCCCAGCTGCATCCAGAAGCCCCCCACCCCCACCCAACACCCCCCTTTTAGGGTCCAGAGTCCCCACACGGTCCGCACCTGGACCAGCCCATTTCCCTAATTATGAATGAGCAGATCCAGGCCGTGTCCGGTGCAGCCCACGCCGTCGCTGCCCAGACAATAAGCTCCAACTGTAAGCCTGGGAGAGGCATGGGGGTATGAAAGCCACTCCCAGAGAATACAGAGAAAGAAAGGGGGCTTGGCGAGACCTCCAAACCTGGGGTCAAAGCCACAATGTGCCATGAAACACCTGCTCCTGTACAGCTTTGCTAATTACAGCAGCCCCCTCGCAGCTCACACATCATGCTGTCAGCGACAGAGACGAGGAGGAAGGATTACCGTCCTGGACTCTGTATTTTACTTTATCAACTCTTGTAAGCTGCTGCTAAATCAGGAAACATTTTACACCTTTTTACTCGGCTTCGTCTGCAGCGGCACATGCCTCAGAGATGCTTTTTATTGGGGAGACTGAGGTTGTGTGTGTGTGTTGGGGGGGGGGGGGGGGGGGGGGTGACGCTGTGTCCCGCATTGTTCATCGACTGCAGCCAAACGACCACACGAGACAATAAAGCGTGGTTAAGGTGGCTTTGAGACAAGTCCACCGGGGATCTCGGGACCAGGCCAGCTGGATAAATTCCAGCGTCTTTTTCTCCTCAAACTGAATCGGTGCTTTTCAAGTGCCACGAGCGGCGAGTATGACTGAATCTGTTCAACAAGCTGCAGTGACCAAAGTGTCACAAATGGCTACCAGACAAACAGTTTTATCTGTAAACAGCCTCCCTCTCTTTCTGTAAATATTTAAATCAGTAACATTTAACTGGTTCCTATAAATAGTTGACATCCTTTTCCTTTCTTTATCTGATTTTTAAGAATGAAATAAAGATCTGCTTCGTGTTTCTTTGTTCAGATCCTGAATGGACCCAATCTATTCACATTTTCAATTTACCAAAATATTTTGGACCAATTATATAAAACCACAATCACAGTATATCTGAAAAAGGTTGAATTTACCTTCACATCTGCTTCTGCAAATTTTAAGGTACGATTGACAATCCTACTTTAGACCCAGATGATTGTAAGGTGCAATGACATTTTTCTTTTCCTTCTAATAACAACATTGACGTTGTGGGTCAGAGACGTGCAGACTGGGTTCCTCAACAATCATCTTCCTTCAGTATAAACCCACTTCATGGTAAAATAAAAATTTGATTATTAAAATGTTCACATTACTCCTGCCTACACTGAGATTCATGAATGAAAAACAGCAGCAGTCCAAAAACTGAAAATGCAGGGTACTATACTTCTCTTATAAACAAAACTATTATAAAATATATATGCATATATATATATATAAAAAAAAGAAAAACTTCAAAATATTTCTTATACTTTTTAGTAAAGCAAGCAGGGCCTTCTAAAATATCTGCTTGATTGTTTTTTAAATTTTTTGAAAAACAAAAATGTGTATAATAATAATAATAATCATAAGAACAGTAAATAATTATTGAAGAAACACTGAGGGAACAAAGGATAAAAACTGACGTGGTTCTTTAGGAGAATATCCGGATGGCCTGTGTGACCTGGGTATGGCACACCGGACACTCCGGGTGGTTCAGCTCACAGATTCGAATGGCACACTCCATGCAGAACAGGTTATGGCCACAGGGCACCAAGGCAGCCGTCACTTTGCTCTCAAAGCAGGTCATGCAGTCCCGCACGGTGGCCGGTGGCGAGTCTGGCACTGGCAGGCGGCCCGGGAAGCCCTCCACAGCAGAGGTGGGCTCACTGTGGGCACGGCGGGCCTGGGCATGAGGCGAGCCCGATACAATGCTGGTGACTGATGAACTATTGGTGGTTCCACCTCCACAAGGCTCATTCAAGCCCGGAGACAGTCTGGTCAGGGGCAGCGGGAGGCCTCCGAAGCTCTTGGAGCGCTGCTGGGTGTAAAAGGACACCTGTTTGGGGTAGTCGGGGTCACCCCAGCCCTGGGTACCCTCAGATCCAAAGTAGGAGCATGGCTTTTCCCCGGAGCTGGAGAAGTTGGTCTTGTTGTAGATCCCCCCTCCCTCTCCGCCTCCTCCGTTTCCCCCTCCAACTATGGTGTCTGAGAAGTTCTGGCGGTAGCTGCTGGTGAGGGGCTTGCGCTGGCCCCCCTGCAGCCCCCACACCTGCTGTAGCCGGCTCTCCAGACCACCAGTGCTGCTCACTGGGCTGCTTCCGCCGTTTGGACCCAAACAGTCGTTCTCGTTGTTGTGGTCATGCAGACCTCCCGTTCGAAAGGCGATGTGGGCTTCGATCTCCTCGCGGGCCCGCTCGGCATTGCTCGGTGACCCGGTGATCTCAAAGACGGGGTCTCGGTCCCGGCTGGGAGTGACAATGTAAGTGCAGGTCTGCTGCTGGATACGCTTGATGGTGGAGCCTTTGGGCCCCACCACCAGCCCCACAACGCGGTATGGCACTCTCACCTGAATGGTGGTCTGACCTGGAAGCGGTGTGGGTGGAGAGCCACTGAAGGACACACCTAGCTTATTACGAGACGCTCGAAGCATGGAGAAGTGCTCTGCGGCAGATATGATCTCACGGCGGGCCAAAGCGACGTCTTCCTTCCGGCCCGTGATCAGGAACACGGGCTCCTCGCCTCGTACCGGAGTTTTGATATAGGTGTTGGTCTTGGCTCGCAGGGCTTTGATCTTGCAACCTGAAACGACACATTTAGAGGTTCAATACCAAAAATAACCATTCAGAGCTATGGTTTTCCATTTCACTAATCAAGTGAAGATGTTACTGACATCTGCTGAAGGCATCAGCTTAAGTTACCAGTAAACCAATCATTAGCATAATTCGTGGGGTTTCCCGCACTCGTGGGTTTATTTTGCTCCAAATCACAACATACCAAGTATGCTCTGGAAGGTTCTCAGTCATGGTAGTTCTAACCGGTTCAGATTAAAGACAGCTGGAATTTTTATTCCTTCAAGGAGGAAATAAAAATTAAATAAAATATTTAATCTAGGATGGGAAGCAAAGTGACATCAATAAATTGTCCAGTTTGTCTTACTTCTGGACTTTCAAAGACAACAGATGTGTCGGCTATTTCCGATTCTTTAACTTTCATCAAGCCAGTGACCTCTCCTTGAACTTGCAGGACAATGGTAAACCCATGTAATGTTTGGTTTTAGGCCATCTTTCATTCTAAATCTGCAGTTTTTTTGGTCTCTTTACGCATTTAAAGTGCTTTCAGGACGATGCTCTGGCATGATCAAGTACAGGATAATGTTATTTTATACAGTTTACTCAACCTTGTTTGAGGACACAACAGGATGTTTTGTTTCTGTCATTATTTAAAGAGGACCGGTACATTTGAGGTCAAGAAGAATAGCGGTATAAAACGACAGCAGCTCTCTTCATTACACCAAGGAGGAATAATGCACAAGCCTACACCCGTTTGCACTGGCATCCTCCTCATTAAGATTTCCACATTTTATCGACAAGTTCAGAGTGTGTTTCTGGTCTCGGGCGCCTCCTAAACACGGCAGCTCAAACCGAGGAAGGCCCTACTCAGCGTTAGCCACCTGAGTCTCACAGCAGCAGGCGTGAAAGCGTCTAAAGGCACTTCAGATTGAAGCAGGATATTTCCCTAATGCCGCCACAAAGACCCACTTTGCGGAGAAATGCTCACTTCCTGGGAAGCAAGTGTACAGAAGGAAGGACAGCGATGCTCAGAGAGGTTAGATTTGATCATGCCCCAATTCTGGAAATGCCCTCTAAGACCACGCTTGGTATTAGGCTAATAGACCTGCCCATGACACGGGGGCTTAAGGAACGATTAGTAAATTTGCTTTCTCCAATTACATTTTAGGTCTTAACAAGTCTGTGTTAATGTCTTCATTAAAGACTTATTAATAAATGAAATGGATGAAAATGAATTAATCAGAATCAGGAATTAGAGCCATTAGAGACAGATTTCCTCCCAATCTGCTGAACTATACAGGATGAGGTAATCCAAAACAAAGCCACGCTGCATCGTAGGAGAGGAGCTCTGACTGGAGAAAAGAAGCATGCCTTCATGACAGGAAGCTGTAGACATCATTTCACCCCCCCCCCCCCCCCCCAAAAAAAAAACCCAGCAACCCCTCGCTGAACTCACCGGATCCACTCGATCAATTTCCCCATTAAAATACAAAACTTACATTTCAGAGTAAAAACCAAAATAAGGGCAAAAGGAGCACAAAAGGAAAATTCCTACAGGAGTCCTGGCTGCTCTCGTGGAGCCTTCATGTGTTTGTTTTGAGGTAAAGCAGAGCTTTCCTAGCAGAACCTCACCCACCCTGCAGTCTTTGTGCCTCAGTCTGAGCCCCCCCACCCCCCACGACAGACTACCATGTGGCTGAGAGCGTGCTGTGGAGAGAGGCTCCAAGGCGTGACTACATCACCCAGCTTTCGCATGCTACAGACCATCAGAGGAAGGGAGGCAGACACATTAGCACAAATCAATAAAAACAATTATATTTAAAAAGAAAACACTTTCAGTATTTCTGTAACTAAGTAGCAGAAAGTTGGTGATAAATAATATCAAAACTAAACAAAAGCTCTTAAATGTAACCCCCCCATTTTTTGGGTGCAACTTCTGGCTGAGTCACTATTTAAGAGCATCCTGTGTGTTCAAATTATATTCTAAAAATCACCTCTCTCACACACACACACCTTTGTTTGACAGCTCAACTTCACTTATGTTCAACAAACACTAAAAACCAAAACCATCTGGATTTAGTCTGGACCTCCCAAGTCCTTGACCTGATGACCAGAACCACAACTCCAACGTGGCCAGAGTCTCTTTGTCCAATTGTGTCACTGGGCCAACGGTCTGAACGTAAACAACAAGGCGGCGGAGCAGCTGAGACACGAGGACACACTAGCCCCCCAAAACAGGATTTGGGTGGTTGGGTTAGGCTCAGAGTGGGAGACTTCCTTCTCCTCCGCTGCTGCGCGTTTTATGAAAAACTAATGACAATAATAAGAAGGATCTTTTTTTCCCCAAACAGTCTGGCGCGTCTCAGACGACAAAGGAAGCAAGTGCTCTCCCGCTCCGGCGTGTCTGCGCGCTGACATTGATGGCGTGCATGTGGAACCATCCGCTTCCTCAGCCCGTCCTAATGTGCGCAAATTCACTCAAAAAGCTGGAAATGCGCGCAAAGCGACACGCGGACGGGTTCTGCTCAACCATCAGAACTTGTAACAGAGAAAAGTGGGAGGATGGTGCCTTTGAGGAGTAACACACACACACACACACACACACACACACCACTCCCTTTTCTTTGTGAAAAACACCAGGTAACAGTTGGAGAGCAGGAGCAGAGGGAGCATGCACCTCTGCTTTCAGGAGGAAGGAGAAGTTTTGGGGGCTCGGTTCTGGACGGAAGCCGGAGCTTTACCTTGTCTTCCCACTATTTCGGCCACATGTTCGGAGCTCGGCACCGGGACGCATTCCGTGATGTTGCAGCCTCGTCCCTTCGTCTCACTTGAGGAGCTCTCGTACAGGGCGCACAACTTGCTCTTCCCTTGCAGGATGGCAGCGTCCCCGCTGGTGTTGGCGTGGTTGTGGAGGTGGTTGTTGTTGTTGTTACTCCGGTCCTGGACGACTCCTGTTGTCGGGGCTCCACCACCTCCGCCGCCGTCCTCGCCTTCCCCGAGCCCCAGCAGAGACAGCTGGCCCAGCGCGACCCTGAGAGCACGGGAGTCGTCCTCCTCCTCGTCGGGCGGCAGGAGCCCCTCACCGCCGAAGCCGGAGCCGGCCAGATCCCCGGCGTAGCCCCCATTTTTCTCCATGATCCCTGCTAGAACCAGCAGGCTAGGCATGGCTAACAAAAGAGTGTGTGAGACAAAGACAGGGGGAAAGAGACTGGAGAAACAGCACCCGTGCCGCCTCCTCCTCCTCCTCACCCCTCCTCCTTCCATTCCACCTCCCCCTCCCTCTTTGCGCTAGACCCTCCCATAGCCCGCCCCATCTGCTCCATCCGCCAGGAGCTCCGGCCGTCTGCGAGCTGGATGGGGCCGGCCGAGGCGTCGCTCCACCCAGTCTGGTTCTCCCGGCTCCCTCCGCCTCCTCCTCCTGGCCGAGACAAAAAACGAGCCGCCCTCCCGCCGTACCATTCCATCTCAGGTTCGCAGGCATGTGGCAGCCCACACCAAGCCCGTCTCCGGTAGAAAGGAGGGGAAAAAATCCGGTTCACCTCCTGCGCCGCAGTCGCAGAAACGCAGCCGCGCTGCGGAGCTGCATGCGGGCTGTTTATGTAAGAAGCAGCCTGCCAGGATGTAAACAGTCATTTAAAGGTGCAAGAACACATGGTCATCTGGTTCTGAGAGACATGATGTCAACTTCATCATGAGGGGAGCAGCTCCGCTCTCACTGAGCCGAAGCTCAGAACCAGAGGAGTTTGTTTCATTTCCTTTCTTCCTTTTGAAGAAAGAAAGAGGAGCGTGTGTGTGGTGGTGGTGGTGTGTGTGTGTGTGGGGGGGGGGGGGGGGGGGGGGCACCTCTGGGTGCCTTGCGGCAGGTCACCGCGCCGCTGCGCATCAGGATGTTATGGCAAAAGGGTGTCTGGAGTGGGGGTGTGAGGAGGGGGAGCGAAAGGGAGTTGTCAGACAGGCGCTGCAGCCCTTCTGCGGTGGGGGGAGGACATCAGTAAAGCTCGCGCACATTTACCGCTTTGGAAAAAAAAAAGGTTTTGCAGCAGCTCCGGTGAACAAAGAACCGCGCTGCGCATTTCTTTGCGCACAGACTCCCAATAACATGCCCGCGCGACTGAAGCCGACCGCGTGCTCGGCCGCAGTGACAGGAATTCAAATCATCACACTGTAAAAATAAAAGCACACGTTTCCCCTTTGTGTTCGCCTGCACCGAGAAGTGCCTCCAACTAGTTATTGGAACTTGTAAATGTCTCCAGCAGCTCAGAAATCAAGTATTTCCTGTTACTGATCTCATATCTGGAGTTGGAACATGCTGGAGCTGCTGCTGAGCAACAACTGATGTCTGTTTTCAGCTTTCTGCAAGTGTCAGTCTAACCATACCATCTGTGCATGTGGTGGCATACACAGTGTTGCATAAGCTTCTACCTGCAAACTTAGGGGGTGTTGGCTCCTCAGCAGCTTCACCTACAATCATTTACCCCCAAAACACAACAAATGCAAGTTCCTGGCTTCAGCACCAGGACCTAAAATCTCATGAATGTGTTGTTTTCACCTGCAGAAGTTAAACCATTCATTTTAATTCACCCATGGTCAAAGGCTGTCCTTATCTGAGTGAACGTAACTAAAACATAAACATAAAACAAGCTAGTAAGGAATAAGGAAGACTAGTGCGGCTTTCAGGTCACACACCGAGTGGAGTGATAATATTATCACACAGTACATCTGAAAATAGGAGCAGCGCTAACTGTTGTGATGAGATGGTGCCAGAGAAAGGTAGAGCAGGTGTATTTACAAGTGTAATCAAAGTCTAGACGTGCTCTCCGGGTGCCAATCAGGAAGGGCTTCGTTCCCCGAGGGGCTGTTGCAGATGAGGGCTCCTGGTATAAAACCCGGATTAAAACGCTCTGTCCAATAAAGAATAAATAAAACAAAAAAGCACCAGGAGGAGGATAGCGGGATGGCATGATGCACGAGGAGGATCTGTTTTCCATCCCCACCCAGACCAGAGGCCGGAGGACCCAGGACGGGGACCAGCACTGCTTAGCAGTGGGCCAGTGTGTCCAAGAGGTCGTCTGGCTCCATTTAAGGGGGTCCACTGGGAGAGCAGGGGCCTAAATCAATGAAAACCATGGATCCTGGCTCGTGTTTCCCATCTTCCACAGCCTTCTCTGCCTGGATGTGTGAGCTTGGAGTGGCCCGTTGTACCACATAATCTTTATGACCGGCTCTGAAAGGACCGCAGCAGGTCTGGTTTCCATTCAGACTCTCCCTACAGGCCACAGTTGTCATTCGTGTGTGTGTGTGTGTTAGCAACAGGATACTTGTGAAATCCAGAGTGCCCAGGTCATGTTACTTGCACATAAAAAAGAAAAAAAAGGTGATCTTGACCATCTGGTCGTCTCTGTGATGCTGCTCCTCCCATGAAAGACAGACTTTCCTCTTCGAAGGGACCGTGATTCACACAAATCTCTTTGTTCGCAAGCTCGAGCAAATATTGCTTTCACCTGTGGATGGTGTCTGGCTTTCAGAGAGGACAGATGATAGGCTGCGAGCGTGTGTCTGAGAATCCCTGAAGGACATCCCTTTGACTTCTACAGCCAGATGTCCTTTTCAGGACTCCTCGGTACCCCGCCGTCTCCTGAATGAGGCCTCTGCGAGCACAAAGGGACGAGTTGGCTGAGCACCACGTGCTGATGCCACGCTGAACGGGCTCTCAGGGATGATGTAAGTCTTCATGCAAATGATACCACATCGTGTGCTTGTAATCCGCAGAGCCCTGAAGTCGGTCAGCTGAAGAAGCCGACCCCGCTTTGTGTGTGGTCGTTCTTCCTTCAACTTTATCTGTTTGTTTGCTTTTATTTTGTTGTTCTGCGCAGGAAACAGAGAAATGACACACTTGTTTTATTAAAGGAGGAGAAGAAGTGGAACACAAGAACCCAAACAGTTTTATTCTTTTAGGAGAACATGAAACATCATCTGTGTTTCAGCAGAAAACACAGGAAAAAGGATTAAAACTTGCAGTTTTCCCAAACCCAATTTTATTAGTAAAAGAAAAACAAAATTAAAGCATTAGGTAACTTTTTGATTATTTAGTTTAAGATTAATAATCAGGGATGGAAATAATCCGTTTATAATTAACAAGTTTGTTTTTTAACCATCTTGTTTGTCCTTTTCCACCTGCTGTGATGCCACACACACACACACACACACACCCCCCCCCCGAACAACAAACTCCTGGAGGAGGATGTGATTGGGAGAGCTGGTGTCAACTGGGAATATGAGTCAGGTAGAATGACTTCATAGCTTTTTTACGGGCATTAGGTCATCTTTTTCCCTACTTACCCCACACACACAAAAACTCCTCCCCTTCTCTCTGCTGCCATGTGTAATCACATTGATGCTGCACAGCTATAGTGACACGCCCAGCGATGATGATGATGATGAATCAGAATCACCGCACTCTCTTCCTGTATGCTGATCTCACAGCTTTGAACCCAAACGTTCCGATCCCAGTTTTCTGTTTATTTCCGTGATCTTTCAGTTAAATAAAAAACACAAACTCGGCAGATTTAGATGAGACAAAAATCACACTTCCACATTTGCAATTGGTAAAATCACAATTCACATTATATATATATGGATGCACACTCACACACACATATACAGCAGGGGGAAATGGAATTTGCACATCAGGTATTTCTAAGTGGGCTATTGACACATCTTTTCTACCAACATCAATTGAAGTAATGCATTCATGCAAAGACATCTAAACACTTACGTCCATAAATTGAGTAATATGCAATAAAGCAAAAAGACACAGGGAAAACAGTATTAAACACACAAAGACAACACGGTGCAAAAGTTGAAGTACGATTGGTCATCATCACACACTGGTGAAATTATATCTCTGGATTTGATCATCCATGTGGGGAGCGGTGCGCTGCAGCTGTGCTCTGGAACTATTTGGTGGATTAACCCCCAATCCGACTCCTTAAAGCTGAGTGTCAAGCTGGGAGGCATTGAGGTCCCATTTTTAAGGTTTTTGGTATGACCCGGCCAGATCTGAACCCCAATCTCCCAGTCCCTGAGTAGACACTCTAACACCAGGCCTGAGAAGGTGGCAAAATGGTATAGAAAGCCCAGACATCACCTGAAATCTGTCAGTATTGAGAGACAAACCCTGCCTCCTGTCAGTGCTAATTAATATCAGCTGCTTTAGCCCTAATTGATGCCCTATAAAGGCTTCTCATCACCCAACAGGCACACAGGAAAGACTTCATGAAGAGTAAAAGTAAATCACTCCCAAACTCTTCATAATCTATCGTGAAAAGCATTCTGATGGAAATGGTTATAGGTGCATTTCCATGGAGTCCACGCATACTCACCATGGTCGTTGGGGCTCAGTTAAAGTTTGCGGAACAGCATTTGGAGAAGCTTGTGGATTCCTGAGAGACTATGGTATGGTTAGATGAAACCAAAATGGATTTTTTTGGCTGTCATTCGTTCCACACACCATGTTTGGAGAAGAAATGACACTGCCCACCACCCCAAGAACACCATACCAACAGTTAAGTTTGGGGGTGGAAGCATCATAGTGTGGGGTTGCTTTTCAGCAAGGGGTACTGGCAGACTTCATATTTTCTATGCAGGATGAATAGAGAATGGTTCTGGGACATTCTGGGTAAAAGTCTGCTGCCATCTACATGAAAGCTGAAACGGAAACAAGGGTGGGCATTTCAGCAAGACTCTGATCCCAAATACAAGGCCAAGGAAACAATGAGTCAGTGTAAAAGAAAGAAAACCAAGCTTCTTGAGTGGCACAGACCTAAATCCAATTGAAAATCAATGGAGGGAACTGAAGATCAATGTTCATTAAAAAAAGGCCCAAGGAACCTTCAAAATCTAAAGAGCGTTTGTGTGGAAGATGGGTCCAGAGCCATTCCTGAGCAACGCGGTGTCTCGAAGCTGTAATCACCAAAAAAGCTTTTCTATAAACTATTTTCACTACTTATGTCCTGAGTCATTTCACTTTATTTATTATGTCCCAGGTTGTATACAAATGTTCTGATTTCTTTGTATGATTCAATATTTGGTTTCATGGGAACATCTGGAAATAGTCCCACTGCTGATGTGTCAAATGCTTAGTCTCCTCACAGTTTTAAAGACCAGGTGCTGACTTTTCACATGAAACCCCTAAATAATTGTTTAAACATGACAAGAGACTGAATTGATTTAATCAGACAAGTGC